TCGCAGGCCAGTAAAAGTGTCATATTTTCACTTGGCAGCTCGAGATGATTAATCTTTTTTTCTTTTGTGCATCCAACGTCGCTTTATTATTAAAAAGAGAGGAGGTGCTATACCGTGAGATTATTTTTAAAGCACATCATCATCCACCGTGCTCTATTAAGCACCACATTCAGCGAAGAAAAAGCGTTATAAGTTGCATTTGAAACAATTTTTGATAACTCTCTCTGATTGCACTTTTGCTTTTCTTTCATATGCGGAATTGCTCAGCACGGAATGTTATAAAACTATTATATTCGCAGCCGCATCTCTTGTAGGGAAGATGGGAATATGCGCAAATAAGAAGAAAGAGACTTTGATGGCTTTTTCACATAAATTAAAAGTGGCAGGAGCGCAACAAACCGCACTCGCAACTCTTTCTCTAATTCACGGAAAATCTCACCTTGCACTACTTTGTTCACACATTATGTGCCACCACTGATTGCAATCAAGAATCCTCTTTGTTTATGTTTATGTATTGATGCTAAAAATGTGTTAGATAAATATTATTTGGCGTAAATTTGTTACCACCGAACTTGTGTTTGAATGAAAATGTAAATATTTTTCAAGGCAACGCATAAAAAGCAATTCATTGAGAAATATTAATGTTATTTTAAATTTTTATTTTGTCATTAATTGGATGAGTTCATGTATGGGGCAAAGTTGCCCTCAGTTTGAACCCAATAAACAAACTTCTGAAACTAAATTCCAGATGCAATCACTCACTACATTTGAATACTTTTTTCAATCTTTATAATTTCAATTTTTATAATGAAATCATAATTCACCTCAATGTATGTAGTGGCACAGAAACATTATCCTCTTAGAATTAAACTTACAACAATATAGCATGTAACGTTTCAATATAATTTACTTGAATTTATTTTATTAAAGAAAGGAATACAACTATAAAATACATGCAACATTTTTATTGCATTTAGTAACAGCTAAAATTATAAATAAAGAAATAAACTAATAATAAATAAACATATACAATTTTAAAATAAAATTATTAAAGATAATACAAAAATATTTAAATTTGTAAAAAATAATATTATTAATTACTTTCATAACTATTATTTTATAAACTTTGCGTTGGACATCTCTTTCCTTCTCTTTTGAAGAGCAGAGAGGTTTAAAGGAACGCGTGAAGAATTGTGGGAAATTATTTGTGTGTGACACGTCTTGTGGCATGTTCCACATTCAGGAGCAAAAGAGTTGCCAGCTCCGGTGGTGGCGGGTTCACGTGAAATTGCACTTGGCTGGGGCATAAGAGAGTAATTACGCGGCGATATTATTACACGGCGAGCTGCACTGGTGTATGCACCGACGAGCGGCCTTAATTTGATGCAGGTCTCGCGAGATCGTCCCACGAGTCCAATTTGTTTATTGCACCACGGCTTTCTTCGCAGCACACACGCCATGCGGCACAAGAATGGTGTCGTCGTCTCATCCTTTTTATTGTCTGTCGACGTGCCGCTGATGTGAATTACTTTTGATGCCGGCAGAGAGTAATTTTAGAATTATGGCCCTCGATTAATGGAGGTTAAGTTATTATAAATTATTTAAGTGCTGACATTTATGAAAACTCGCACCATAATTTGTCTCAAGAGTCCTTCATGAACAACCGTAGAAAGTTTGTTTCGATTTATCTTAATCCCCAAGTAAAAGTTATTTAAGGAAGGTTCGTTGATTTTGCAATTTACAGTTGAAGGTACTTAGAATTAGCGAACAATTGCAACTGCGGAATAAAAAGAACTTGTTTGTTTTTGCTCCCAGATTAATCCAAATTGTTAGATAAGCCGTGAACAATGAAACTAATTAAAAGAGCGGCCTTCCAACTGTTCAGGTCCTTAAAACCCAAACCCAGTTAATTGTCCTCTCAATCCTCGTCACTGATTTCACGCTCGCCGCCAACAATTAGCTCTTTGACAAGCAATCAAGCACCGTGAAATCTATTTAAAGAGGTAAAATAACTGGCCACTCTTTTAACTTCGGACACAGCCTGAAAAACCGTCTCCAGGTGCGTAAATTTACCGTTGCGATTCCATTCTGCACTGACGTCATTTATTAATTATCACCGGTGTGCGAGAAAACCCTGCTTTTGTTCCCTTCGGTTACGCAAATAAATTTCAACACAAAAAAGATGCATTTTGTGCGACACCGAACGAAAACTCTTCAGCTTTATATTTCACTTCTTTAACTCCGGCTTGCGGTCTCGACGAAACGATTTCGTCGGAAATTTAGGAGATACGCTGCACTATTCTAAAATAATACCCCGGTCTCATTTTCCTGCTCATTAAGCACCGATGTTTTTCGTTCACCAAATTAAATGGGCTCGCTCTCGAGGCAGGAAATCGCCGGTGAGATGCCGATGCGGCGCCTTTCCGTCGTGACTCTATGTGCTCAAAAAAACAAAACAAAGTGTGCTGGTCTCCAATTCTGTATTAAAGGATGAGCCGCGCCCGACACTTCGTCACCCACGACGCGAGCCACGCTTTCGAGATCAACGGCAGCTAATTTCCTGCCTTATTTTTGTATTCTTCAACACCTCGAAGCTCTAACTCGCCGAGGGTAAATTTTTGTTCTAATTATAGGGATGTATAAAAACACCAAGCTCTGCCCTACAAATAGGAAGATATTTAAATTTCTGTCTATTTCATTAGCTGGTTGGTAGAAAAAAAAACTATAAAGAGTAATTGGATCAGGAGAAAAAGCAGCTTGTCATATAGGTATGTAGAACACGTGACTCCGTCACCCCTATGTCCTTTTCCGGGTTGCACGCGAGGGGTCATGCGAGTAATATTCGGGATCAAATGACCGCTGCCTTCACACAATGCTCGGTGGAAACGACTAACGGGTGCTCTTTTGTTTTTTGATAAGAGTTCCGCACCTGTGAGGCGCACGTCGATATGAATTACAAACGGAAGCGGCGCAAATATCAAACTGAATAACAAAACCTTTTAGGGTCCTCTCATTGTCAGTCTTCAGCACCAGGAGAGACATATTAATAAATTTATTATTTATTTGATTTGGTGCTTCTTTTTTAATTTAACAGTAATTTAATTTAAATTTTTATCACTTTCATGTTGACTTGATTTGATTTTTTAGTTTACATTTTTTTATAGATTAATTATTTGTACAATGGATATAAAAAGTAAAAGTTCCTGTGTGAAGTAAGATAAATCAAACACTTATCCAACAAAGAAAGGCCTCGGTTAAACCTTCCGAAATTTGCATCACGACTCGTTCAAGCATCCTTTCTTGAAAATGTGGGAAAATTAGCCGTCATTATTATTATTTATCACCTTTCGCGAGAGTGACGAAACACGCGATTGTGCCAAACAATGCTGCCTGCGGTTGGGAAAATTATCCGAATCCTCAATAAAACCTGGATAAAAATCGAATTGGCGCGGAAGTCCTTTCGTCTGATGCAAATAATTTGTTTCACTGGGTCTTTGGGAAACTGGGTTTCTGTTGAATGGAGCCACGAACGTAATAAATTGCTGGAGCCACTATGCGGTTTGTTCTTTGAGCAATAACAAAATAAAGCAGCATAAAGAAAATCAGCCGCCGCTTTCAGTTTGGCCACGATTTCGCAGCAGCGTGTGTGTGGTAAATAAGGTGTGATTTATTTATTCACTCGTTGCTCAATCAAATATAAATACACGGTGGCACAAAAAAGTGTTAAGTGTGAATCTAGGCCGTAACCTGACTGCATCTGACGGGCATTATTATATATTATTCTGATTGAAAGCCGAGAAGCAGAGCACCAAGAAAGGACGTTTGGTTTTTTTTTTTCATCCTAGCCAATGTGCAAATCACGAAATGAATTTTTTTCCTGTATTAATGATTCAGAATATGTGCTTTGGAACTTAATCCTTCTTGCCATTAGTTATTGTTAAAAAAATGTAAGCAATAAGAATATTCACTAATATTTTTTATCTTCAGATTAGCTCTGGAAATTTTGAGATGTTACGCTCGGAAGCGAAAAGTACAATACTGGGCAGGCAAAATGCGCCCGGCTGGGAGTCGGTGCTGCTGCTGCTTTTGCTGGCCGATGGTAAAACATCACCAGACAAGCAAGTCAAGGGTAACCCGAGAATTCCAGGCGGCAAAAAAACCAACCTGCCGCCGACGATCCTCTGCTGGCCCTTTTGCCGGCCGCAAACTCGTTCTCCGCCAGCCAGGGCTACACAACTGCATATATATCGACGGCGAGTGAGTTTATGCTGTGGTCGCGGCAGCCGGGCATGCTCAAGTTTTATTTCATGCCGGACCGACTCACTTTTCAATTCTGACTCGTTTATTTCGCGCAAACAACACACACACATGCGAGCGATCGAGTGCAAACGACCGCAAAATCTGCAGGCCGCTTTGCGTGTGTGCGAATTTATTGGTCAGGTGTGGTGTTGCAGCCCCCAGACACGTTGAAAAAATGGTTTGACGCGCGCCTTGTAATTTATGCATACTGAAGTCAATAACCCTTCACTCGTATAAATAAGATTTACATTTTTTTTTAATTCTTATCTATTTAAAATAAAAATAGAAATTTGTTTTTGCAATTGTGTTTCTAGTTATTTGTAAAAGAATAAATTAGATTTTATATTTGTGGAGAAAAACTCATTAAAAAAACCCAACATAAACTTAACTCTATAAATAAATGATTAAAAAATTTGCAAATTTTAAATTAACAAATCATCTTGGAAAAAAAACGCATTAATCATTTTTATTTTGGCCTCGGGTCTTCATAAGAAATTACACTCAATTAATTAGCATGATACCAAAGTTCCATTTAGAAACTATAAAAAAAATCATGGCATTGCCCTGACGGACACTTTAAAATTTGTAAATTAATTTATTTTCAGATGATTTTGCATAGCCTAATTACATTATTGCCAATCCTGCTCTTTTTACATCCCAAACCAAAATAAATATACAAGTTAAAAAAAAAGTAAACTCACCGGTTGTCGCTGCCGAATTCAGCACTCGTAAAGGGCGGGGAGCGGAAACGAGACTGTTTTGCAGGATGATTGAAGAGTCCAATCGGGTTTCACTGCGGATCAGCTTTGAAGAGGCCGCCGATTTTCGCCACCTCTGGCCTCTCGGTAGACATTTTCCTCTTTCTGTAAAACGAAAACGAGACACATCCTCGATGAGTGTTACTGAGTGACCTGCATTTTCAAACGCACACAACGCAATCAGGTCGCCTGCATAAAATTAAATTATCTCTCTAAGTGAGCCTACAGCACCGAGAGCATGCTCTTAATTCGCTCGACAATTAAGTTCACTTAGCGCCTCTAGATAAATGGAAAAACGAACAAAAACATACAGCAATAATAAAGTAATAAAAAGCTCTAATACGTTTCCACCATAATTTTCTTTGTATGAGAAAATTTTAATAGAAAGTTCTGCTATGCGACTCATTAAATACTCCGTCCTTGGTAATGATTTGGAAGATACGGTTATTTTCCTGGCATTAAAATGACAAATTATGATGTTCGCGACTGCATAATGGGCTGACGTGAACTTGAGCTGCCATGACGATAATATTTAATGCTGTAATTTTTATAGTTATTGTTTGCAATGGAGTATAAATTTTTCCAGCTCAAAGAACAATAAGCCTGTTTTTCGTCAAAAGGCGTCGACCTCTGCTCCATTCCATAAAATGCATATTTGATTTTGAAAGTTTGATTGAGAAACTGATGTGTTTGTGCGCCGAAAAGTCAGTTTTGAGGAGGCTGAACACCCAGTGATTATACACCAGCGTCATTTGAATAAATTTGATTGCCCCATTCATTGGGTGGACCGTTCATTTCACGCTGGATTAACGAGAAATTTATCGGGATGTGTGGCGCATGCATCACGCGTCTGAATCTGTTCAAGCGGAAAAGCAAGCTTGGGAAAAGTCCTTCTCTCGTCTGTTCGGACGTGGCGCCTTTCTTTCCGCGTCAATTCCAAATGTCGCGCGCGTGTTGGTGATAACCTAGAGGCGAAAAGTCGTGTTGCCCGTCCGATCCATTAATTCAATTTGTGGTGTCAACAATGTTTAAATCTGAGCAAGCTGACTGTGTGCACGCGAGTCTCTGCACTTGTGTTGCATTAAAAAGCAATAAATAAAATCAAGCGTCAAGTTTATTACGACAGAGTTCTTATGTATTTTAAATTGAAATTGATTATTTATTATTATTATGCAAAATGATTTTCTTGCTTTGATTTCGTTGTAAGAAAAATAGATCAGTTATAAGATAAAGCATCCAAATTATTAAGTAAAACTATCAGAATAACAAAAAGGCAATTAAATCATTATGGAAATTAAAATTTTTTATTAGGAAATTTACAAATTTTAATAGCTATTTAGATTCTTTATTTGATACTGTGAGCTCCATAACAAATATTCTCTTCCTTTTCATCAAATTGTAATAAATATAGATTAAAACTGCTATAATAATATTAATATAATTAATCTGAAAAGATATTAAAAATAGTTTTTACATATTTGTTTTATTGATTTTAATTATTTCATTAACACAAGTGAAAACTTTCTTATTTTTTGATTAATTAAATTTGAATATGTATCATGTATTTTATTAATCTCTACTTCAAACCTTTCACAATTCCTATACGTTACAAATTTGTTTTATTTTAGTTCTAGGGGCACCTTTCCCCAGCGCTGCAGTGTCAGGTTGAATTTCATTCATCCTCGAGTGCACCGTAATTACGGGAATGGCGCGACCTTTCAGCATGTTTTATGCTGCGATCGATTCGCCGATTTCGATCGCTCAATGGCTGGAGGTCGCAAATGATTTATTTCCAGCAAGCGCCAACCTGGAAATGACGTGTTCCTTTTGGCGCCATATAAGGCACACGGTTTTATTTCTAAATATGCAAACACACCGAGAGCAAGGGGGAGAAAGTCGCGCTCTCAGAAACACACTCTCCAGAGTATAATAATATCTATTGTGGCACTTGTTACTTATCTCTCTTTATCCAGTCGGCGTGTCACTGCACTTGAATAATCTATGGGATGCTGTTTCCTTCTGCTGCAGCGCACAGGTTCTTTCTTTCTTTCTTTCACGTATGTGTATTTATTTATATTTTCAAGCGGCTTCCAGAGTGCTCGCAGAGGCAAGGTTATTAATACGTATGTAAGAGTGTGTGTGTGTGTGCTGAATAGATGGAAAATAAAGGTCGTGGAGAATTGAATAATTGGAATAAAGGCTGCCGCTTAACATGGCGCATAAACGTTCGTACAAGTGCATACTTCTCGGTTCAATGCCTCGGACCGGTCGGTTTTGAATGCTGTGTTTTCTCCAATTTAAGTTTTCATTTTGGGTCAAGCTTTTTAATTACATTCCAAGGGATTAAGTTTAATTTTATCTTATTTAAATGTTAAATTAAATCCATGCCGGCAGATAATGAATGGAAATAAAAATTTCAAAATTATCAATCATACAAAAGTGACGTTCACTTAAAATAAAAACTATAAAAAGTTATTTTGTTGAATGAAATTTAAGTCTCTTTGAACTTGTAATATTAAATTTAAAAATTCTTTGAAATGAAAAAAGGCTTTTAAAAACCGAGTAGTTAGTATTAGTGTTTTACCACGCAGTTGAAATTATTATCAGATTCGCGACTTAAGTGCACATAATGAAAACGTTTCAGTGAACATCAAGGAGCAGTAACTCATAATGCAGACGTTTTACGTTCAATTACACTGTAATTTATTCGAAAAGATAATACAAAGCTCCCCAGGTGATTTAATTGAACTGCAGCTTACGTCACTCATAAATGCACAGAGGTTACAAGAAATTAGTCGCGGCGATTTGCAAAGATTAATAATGCAAAGCCTTGGATTTCTCTGCGATCTGAAAATAAGAAATCTCGATCTACCGTTTTCCGTTTCACTTTTGGACAGATTCATAATTATAATGTGCCCAAATAAGGTTCGCCAAAGGTTCTCCAGCACAGCAGCACCTTCAAAGGCAAATTGCTGCGCCCTTCTCAAAGGTTGATTGAAAATGATTTTGCTATTGACCTCTGCTTTTTATTCTTTAAAATTGGAAAATGGAAATGAAACACAAGTGTATAAAAAGCAGTTTTGATTAAATATGGACCGAGTGTTGAATATTCATGCGCGCGCACTCATCTCTCGCAGTCAGTCAGTTTGCAATAAATAAAAGCGGTCGGTGTGCAGCAGATCATTATCGACACATAATTGATGTAAATTACTTGGCATAAATTCCACCCATGGCCATTTTTATTGGCTGCATCGCTTTATTGCCATTGTACTCCCAAGAGCTCTTCCTTCGCATTGTTCTCCATTCTGCTGGCCGGATTTGCATTTAATTAATTACAGCCGCTTTTTATTGATTGAAAGCGGCGCGTGGGTTTTTATTTCAAACAAATTGTCATGTGGTGGGCGCTTTCGCGTGCATTATTTTTAGCTTTTTACTTCTTTTTATGGCCGGCCGCAGCTTTATCGCGGCTTAAAATAAATACAAGTACCACACACCAAGTGCAACAGCAATAAAATGCACGGCAAAGAACAAAACATAAAATAATGGTATTTATGTGTAAATGTGCAAAGTGGCAATTTCTTGGCGTCTTAACTCTTTTAAATCTGACGTTTTTCTCTGTGCTGCTTTTCCATTCATTATTTTCGTTTAAAAAAACTATCTGCAATAAAAAAAAAATGTATATACAAAATGTTATAACGGCTAAGTAATGAAAAGCGTTTCGTTTCACTTGCACTCTTGCTAAATTCATAAAAATAAATACACTGGCTTTTCTTCGCTTAAAAGGCGTTTCTACCACAGCAGACTCACTCCGAGATAAATTATTAATAGCATAGAAGCCTGTGCTACCATAGTAATTTATAGCCTGATAAATTAATGGAGCTAGGAGCTTTGCTCTAAAGAGTGACTTGAATGAAATAACTCGCACTAATTGGGCCACTGATACGGCGTTAAAACGTCTAAAGATCAAATTGCCTTGGAAAAAAATTAAATGCCCTTTGTTAATATGTTAAAATTTATAACTTTTGCATCAGATTAAAATTAACTATTCAAAAAAGGTGAATATGTATATTATATTTTTAATACTTCCAGAACTAAAATGTCTTAAATTTTATCCGTTAGGTTTGATCCCACTGAAAATTTCTGCCTTTCTATTGTGTTTGTAGAGTCTAAATAAAAAAAACGTGGTTGGGATTATAAGCAAATTGCATGAGCAATTTTCTCAGCAAGGGAGGCTGAAGTAATTCGTAAAAATAATCAAAGTCGCTTCGTCACGATGGCAGGTGCGTTTGAATTACAAAAAATTATATGCTAATGATTCTCAAGAAGTCTCTCCGGCACCTTTTAAACACAAGTTGAAAATCTCAAGAGACGCGTCATCTTCTTCGCAGTTGCTAAGCAAGTGAAATGGTTTTTCCAGGAGTGCACAAAGGCGACTTGAGAGTTGTAAAAATTCCACTCGAAATCACACCTTTTATATTTGCATACTGCGAATGACGTAACGAGAAAAAAAAATAACCCACAAACGCTCTTTATTGAAAGTTGCTCTCGGTATATAAAAGACCAATGAGTCACCGCGCAATTTTTCACTTAGTGACTGGGAAACCTTTTACTTTGCAGAATCAAAGCGTTCCAAGACCAAAATAAAGGACGTGTTGTGTTGGCCACTCGTTGGCAGTGGGCAGTTTTTGCAACAAGCTTTTGTTTCTAGTTGTGATAAAGTGTGTACTTACTTGCGTGTTTTTGACACGCAACCGCATCGAGCATCTCTGCTGCACAGGTTGCCTAATTAGGAAAGTGGAATAAATTGCATTAAGCAATTCAATTTTTTTCCCCTTTAATTAAATTCAGCTGGACTTGGATATAGTGAATTTTGTTTTGCCACCAAAATTGGTACGGAAGTTCAGCATTCTTTTGCCAAAGAGATTGAATCTCAAGCCGAGAGTGCGGAGACAACTTTTTCTCTTTTCTGCTGAAAAAGCAGTTCACGGTCTTGTTCCCACGGACACTCTATGGTTTCTTTCCATCTGCATATTAAAACGCGTCGATTTTGATACCGAAGACTGAAAATCCAGTTTTGCAGCAAACCTTTCTTTCTCTCTTTCGCAGAGCCGCCTCATTCATTCCGCCTCTGATAGCTTCATTAATATTTACAACGCTGTTCTCAGAAGGATAAAGAGGTGGAGAATGAGACTAGATGCAGCTTTCTTTGCCGCAGCATTAAAATGCACTTAATTCATCTGATCATGATCCGGTAGACAGCAGAATTTTTTTTGGAAAATACATTTCCAGCTCTATTTTTTTCACCCACTAAAGAAAAAATATAAATCCAGACTTTGCGAAATAAATATTACACTTTTAAATATCTCAAGAAAATGCGAGTTAATTGACCGGTTCATCGATTGACGATTGGCACCATTAACCAGCCCTCAGGTGATCGCACACTGCATGCAAATAAGAGGAATACATAAAACGGGCTCTCATTTAGCTGTTGCGATAATTTATCAGCACCGCCAGCGGTTGCACAACTTGTAAACTTGCGAACGGCGAGAGATAAAAATTATCCAACTTTTCTGCATCTGGTTATACGTGTGAAGTAAAATGAGGTTTATTTATGAAGTAGAGATGCAACCCGATCTGCCACTCAATTTCAAGAATCAGTCATCACTCCAAAATTGAATTTATTCCTCGTAAGTGGGATCACCATTCATTTTTCAAGAGGAGATGTGGTTTGTGTGTGGCACTCTTTGAATTACATCACTGCTCATTTTTTTAGCTCAAGGGATTAATAAAGGGACTTTATTGCACAGACCACCTGAGCGAAAAAGGTTCTTACGGGTGGTAATCCCGAGGGTCAGATTAAATTTAATGAGTCCTTCTTTACTTCTTGATTGCATATACAAAGCGCTATCTTTCAATGCATTCATTTACCATTGAAATATACAAATTAATAATATTTTTATCGTATGTAGGAATTGATTGACGTTATTAAATTAATTCTTATATTTCAATTAAATGCTTTGTTAAATGGCCAAGTTGATGAATAAAAATTTCCCTGAACCGTTTATAGAATGAAATTTCTACATTAAATAATATTACGAATTGCAGTAAATACTATTAATTAAAATATTCAAGGAATGCTGTAAGATTTCTAAATCTCTCCGACTAATTAAGAAATTCTGTACGAAAGAAAAAATTAAAGAACAATCGATTGAGATCTTTGTCGAAAGAAACTCCAACTAATAAGAGGCAGAATTATATCAGAGGAGAGACCGCATGCATAAATCTCTTTCTTTTTTCTTTTTAATTTGCCAAGCAAGCGATTTCACGCAGAAATTGCTGAGCGAGACCAATTATCGAGTACAAGGTCGTCTCTTCTTTTTTAAATAATTTAAAGCGATTTCCTTGAAGGTTTATTGACTGTCTGCCTGGCTACCGATTTGAATCAACCAGAGAGAGATGCTTTCTTTCTTTCTTTTGCTCGTCGTGTTTCTGCGCGCAGACAACTGGTTTCTTTGCTTCATATCAGCGGAGAGGCGATAAATAATTCAGACGGCAGACGTTCCGAAGAGAGATGTTCCGGTTTTTAAAAGGGGCTCGTGCACTTTCAGAGTGAGAAGAAAATCATTGTGGCCTAATTTGTTATAATTACATAAATTTTTTGCAGACAATTCTGTAAATCACTTTTTACACTGACGTCAAATTGCTCAATCTGAGGAAGTGGAGATGTAAAAATAAAATTGCACTATGGCGTTCCGATAAAATAGGTAGAGAATGATGAGCAAATTTTGCCACACATCGTTTCCAAACTGCAAAAAAATCTCGCACTATAATCTTAGCAAGGTGATTCAGAAAATCAAAATGATCATTGTGTGTGCAAAAAACTTCTTTTCTAGTAAAAGGTAAAATTTAAGAGATCTTCTTTTAATCAACTACATAAATTATTAAGGAAAAATTTCTCCTCTATAGTGCTCACTGAAGTCATTAAAGAAACATTATCAGCATGCATGCAACAATATAAAAATTAAAATTTTAAAACGTTTCCATTTTCATAATTTTTATTAATTTCAAATATTATTTAGCTTTATTTAATATAATTAATTAAAATTAAAATTAGAGTTCCTCTATTAATTTTTTATTTTGATATTGACAAATAATTTAAAAATAAAGTTCAAATTTCAACATCAACAAAGGCTTAATTATGCTTGCTGCATTTATCATTGTCAAACCAAACGTCAAATCATGACAAAGGTAATCCATAGGCCATAGGCTTGTAACAATTAATTACAAAATAAAATTAAATATTCGTGATATTCATCGTTAATATTTAACAGTATAATTTTATTTAGATTCATTTTTGATATAAATTCACATATATAAATATTTTATTTAGCATTCACATAGACGCAAAGATGTAATCAAGTATCAAATTGTGTAATTACGCAGAATGAGTTATTTTCTTTGAATTCATCATCAGCAAAAGCTAATTAATCAGTAAAAGCTATTTTCTCTCCACTTTTAGCGAAAACCATTCGCACCAGGCTAATTGCATGGGAGCGATTTTCACTTCATTAGCGTGTTACTTTGCAAAAAGTACTAATTTATTTAGCCAGTCAGCAACCGGATCGGCGATTGATGGCGCGTCAATCACTCTCGCAGGTTGGGTGAAAAGCGGAGAGAGATCAAAAACTCGGAAGGCCTCTAATGACGGTGCATTAAAAATCTCACACCCAAGTAGTGTTTTGGCGCGGCCTCTCCACCGCAACAGAGCGGGCGGGCGACGACACAATAATAAGGAGTCGACTTCCTGACGAAGCAGTTTCCTCCTCCAACAGAGTGTGTGTGTACTTGCGGCGAAGGGTCAGCGACACCCGCGAACTCTTACATGCGACCGGTAAATAATAATTATCTGTCTGACTCGGCACAGCCATCACTAATTCGCCATTAATGCGTAGCCGACATTATTCATTCCTTCCACGGCGTTACCGCAATAACAGATGAGAGACGAGAGATGCACGCGAGAGCGGCTCAAGAAAAATAACCAATGTGGTTTATGAAAAATTAAAAAAATAAAATAAAAGAGAATTGATTTATAATGATAAGGTTTGTTTCTGCTGAAGGATTTGAACTCTCGCCAACCAGAGTTGATTAACCTGCCATTAAATTTAATTTATTTTTAAACAATGACTGCACTAAGCGTCGAAATAAATATCTTAATCAAAGCGAATGCTACTTATGAAAATGCAAATGCGGGGCATAATTGGCTCAATTGTGTGAGCGTATACAATGATTGTAATCAACGCGATTGTAACTTGCGATGAGAATGGGAAACTGCGGCTTTGACGGATCGCATAGGTCTCGGATACAAAGGCAGACGGGATTCAGACATCAACCTGATATAGAGCAATGAGGTCTGCTCTTGACCCTGCCGAGAAAGCGATACGCCATCGCTGAAATTGTATTTTAATCCCTTTGAAAATATATTTAATGGCATGCACGTGTGCATATATAGAAAAAACTGCAATGCCCGTGCTAAATATTGGTTTTCATATAAAAAAAATGATGATTAAAATTAAGATTAGCCGAAATTAGTTTTCTTAAGAGTTTAAAAATCAAACATTTGGAATTGAAATTGTTATTTAGTTAAAAGCGTTAGAGGAAAATACTATAAATTAATCAGGGATAAAAGATAAGTTTAAAATTGAAATATTATTGAAAAACAAATATTTTTATAAATACAATTCAAATAAAACTTGTAGTAAAATAATATTGAATGTATATATGGATGATGCATTTGGGCAGAGAATGCCCGGTGATACATTTACAAACACAATTTGCAACTAAAATATAGTACATGCTTATTTTTTTAATTTTTTTTGTAAAATGTTAACTTAAATTTTTCAAAGCTGCACATATTAATTATGCTATTGAATTTTTTCAAAGTTTTTTCCTTTGTCAGTTATGCAATTCAATGGATGACCTGTTTAAAAGCGAGAAGATGATCTATTCAATTCAATTCATGTTCATTTTGACATTACTCTAAAATATTGCACTCGTTTTTCTTTTGTACGAACCGAGGTCACCGTTGAACGGCACCTATATCGAGAGTGATTTCAAGCTGCTCTATATAACAAAAATCGTGTAATCCAACGAGCACCATAAATTACTCCATAAGGTATGTTGTGTTCGTGTGTGTGCACGGCTTCTCAATCGACACGGCTTTAAAACCGACACACACGTATACGCCTCACTCAGAACAATCAATAAAATATTGCGATCTGCCGCCGCGACTCTTACCTAACTCGCAGGTCAGTTTGGCCGGGCTCATAAACAGGCCAATAAAACCATTGAAAGTGCAATTCGTGCTCAGCCAACTCATTAAAACTCGTTTTCTCTATAGCTGTCTGTATGAGCAATCGCCTTGGCGGAAATTAAATGGAAATTACTTAAAGTCACGGATTAACATTAAATAGAAAATTGACTTACATCTTTAGTGAACTTGCTTCAGTCACCGGTGTATTTTCCTGAAAAATCAAACGAAAAATATTAAAAATATTTTTCCGATTTATAGTAAAATTAAAAATAATTAAATATTATTGGTAAAATAACAAAATGTGTGTCATTATAACAGGACCGATATGCTACGCCAGGATGTTTTGAAACACAGTTCGGAATCAATTAATCCTGGGTCTTTAAAGTTTGGGCTTCCTTGTCTGTTTGAAATGAGTGGCGTCATTTCGGAGATGTTAAACGCGCTATTCTAAGAACGAGATAAGAGGTAAGTAGCACCGTTTGTGCCAGGCGTGCTTCCAAAAAAGTGCACGAACCCACATTTGTTCGCTGCCAGAAACAGACACAGCACTTCTTATATAAAGTCTCGAACACTCGGATTTTGTTTACATGGCAGCTTCTTGTTGTTTAGAAGCGCATTCAGATAATCTGTGAGAATTAAACCTTTTCAGGACTTGACCAAGGAGCGTCAAAATTGAAAAGGATTAGGAAAGCGTTGCAAGTTGTAAATGAAAACAAAGAGAGACTTTTCTCAAACGGTAAGATGGCCCCTGAACTTACTTTTGGTTCTTCAAAAAAGGTGCCTTTAAAATGAGGAAATGCTTAAAATCATGATATTTAATGAAAATAGAAACTGGAATTCAATCATTTTAAATTTGTCTCTTTTTAATTGAATAGGAAAATGAGAAAATTATAAAAAAATATTAAATGTTATAATTTGTGATTGTAATAATCAGTGATCCACTTTTCCTATGCAAATTGATGCAATTAAGGCATGCACAATTTGCTTTGAACGTTATATGTTTTACTGATGGAGGTCATCCTATGCAAAACATGCTCCAAAGTGAGCGTAATACTTTAATTAACACGCGCGGGAATTATGCAACACGCCAGAGGTATGTGCTTTTCCGAAGGCGAACGCCTCAATGAGCACACTCGAGTTCAACGTGCATATTAATTATTCTCCGTTTTCAGCGCGCAGGATCAGAGATCAAGTGCTGCCGATAAATCGCGCGCACCTCGACAAAGTGTTTCACGTAATTTTCATTATATCCACACGTGCTATGCAGCAGAGAAGTCTTCGTCGTCGAGGTCTTTGCAAATAAAATTGACAGTCCTTTCGCCCCGATTCGAAAGTAAAATCACTAAACAGCTGACGCGTGGAAAATAAAACAACACGCTGTGTTTTGACGCACGTTAAATTCGGTTCGGGCACAAACAAAGGTGGAGTGACACAACTTTGCTGATTGTGCAAAAAAAATAAAACGAAAAGGCGCAGATCGAGTCAAACACGATTTTTTACTTGTGACACTCACAGCAGGTAATTTTGAACAATCGAGACTAAAAAGGTTGAGCGCAAATTGTCAATGTCGTGTCTAATCGCGATTTTAAATTTCGTGTGCAGTGGGAAGGCTGAATTTTGGGATTGTTTATAAAAATGTTCTCAAAGCTTCAATCAAAAAATATCAAAAATTAATTCTTAATAAATAAATAAACATTTATTATTTGATGTGAGACAAATAATGGTTTAATTATCATTGGAAGGGTAAATAAATTTGTTATTTATGGCAAATCAGTTTCACGCCCGGCAGCAGAGAAAATTTAGCAAAAGAGGCGCGACGCATGTTTAGACGCTGATCATTCACATATTCTCTTCCCAAATAAGCCGCAGGAATTCAAATCATAATAATCACACCCGGGCAATTTAATGGCACTCCACACAAAGCGTAAAAATCAGAGAGCCATAATTTCCTTAACCTTGATCTTGTTTCCCAAACGTGAAATGAGAGAGAGACGAATTCGATTTGGAGAACAGGAAATGCGCCGGTTTCTACGAATCTGCGTGAATTTGTGCAAATTGGAGAACCGAAATTTGGAGAAAGTGCGCGCTGGATAAATAAGAGGCTGCCGAAAAGTGGCAAATATCACAATTTCGGTGTAAAAGGCATTTTGCGAATTTATAAAAATCAATTCTCTCCTCCTTTCTTGCAATTTCTCCGAAATCTGAGCAGCAAAGAAAGTGCAGCACTTTCGACAAAAACCGGTGCCGTGAGTGGCCAAATGCAGTCAGCCAGCATGAAAGAAACCAAAGGACCGACCGGCGGAGATAGTCAAATTTTTTTGTCATCAGTTGTGGGAGGAGAGACTGGCGCGATAAATAATTGAGACCTACAGCGCTGGGTTCGTGACATGCAATTGTTGTTTGCTCGCCTCTGGACAGCTTTTGGTCCACTTTTCTCTGCTGCTGCAGATCCAGCATAATAATAGAGACCGCCTGCCATCTACATCTTTTTTCTGCACGCCACGCACCAATCCTTCCTTTCCCCGGCTGACGAACCCTTTCGGAGACGCTTGTTTTGAACTCATCGCTGCTGCTGCGAGATTTCTCTCCTCTTCGTGCATGATTACAACTTTGACGAGAAATTACCGGCTGCTTTTTATGGTCACCAAAGTGGTGTTTACCACGCGGGACCATGTCAATAGAATAGATTTGTCTGCAAATGTAGACCAGCAAAATAATTGCGAAACGAAAGTTCTTCCTTTTTGGGAATAAAAGCAGTTGGAGTATGTTTGGCCTTGAACGTCACTTGATTATCATTTCCCAGAAATATGTGGTATAAAAAATTCAAACAAATAAATTAATTAATGTGTCGGCTAATAATGAAATTATTATAACGTTGAGATAATTATAATAATAAAACTTTATTTGCTTATGTGTATGAATCGTTTTAAATTAATTTATTGCAATACTTCAGTAATATATTTTTAATGTGAATTGCTAATTTTGTGGTATCAAAACATTAAAAGCCAATATTATTTTCCAATTAGTGAATACCTCGGTCTTATAAAAATTCAACTGTTTGACTTCATTAAATTTTGTTCATTTCAGTTGGTTTTTGTAAATTAATTACCTGTATAGTAAATTCATTTTTCATCATTTTCAGGGTTATTTTTAAATTTGAATCTGATATTAAAAATTCGTCACAAAACTGGAATTTATCAGTCGACTCTCACCACTGACGTCATCGTGACATTGAAAAGCAGCAGCCCTGGAAAAGGTGCTTCCGCTGCATTTTCCGCTGTCAAAGTCACTGTCAATGCCACTTTCCAGTGAAAAAGCGTGTGCTGCTTTAAAATCGGCTTCAGAGCTTGGAGAGCAAAAATCTCTTCACGGACAACGTTGCCATCGCAGCTTTTTATTGTTGTGATAGGCAACCTGCTGGAGGAGAGGGATACATATTGTTATTGGCCTCCTCACTGACACACAGAATGAGGGTTGCTGACAAAAAATATTATGCTTTAGCTGTGGGAGAAAATGCACTACGGCTCGTCGTGCATTATAAGAATATAGCCTTGGGGGTTTTCCTCAGCATCTTTTCTACAGACCAGGAGTCGTTTTGTGCCTAAGAAAAATTGGCCCCACGTTTAACAAAATATAATCAGCTGAATTTTCCAAACAATTTAGTCTGCTGCTGAATTAAAACGCGCTCCTCTCTATTCAACGTCAGCAATGCAGAAACTTTCGCACCTCCTCTCAATATAATCTCATCAATTTTCAAATTAAAAGATATCATCTGTTCGCCACAATAGGAAAAAAAATCGTATGGAACGCCCTGCGCCGGTTGTTACACTTTCGTTGGCACGGAGAATGTTTTAATTGAGGAATTAGCAGAGGCGATTCCCACACGGCTGCAGTCGGAAGTTATAAAGTTTGCCACGAATTTTGCTCAAGCCTCGTCCCATGACAAAGGACATGAATAACAGCCGGTTATTCCCTCGCTTCGTAATCGACTTGGCCACAAATAATTTGAGAAAAAGGCAGAGCAACGTTTCATTTATGCCTTATTAAGACCATCCTCAATTATAAAATTAATTAATTTAGAATTGAATTTTTCAGGACAGTCTGCTCTCACGAGAGTGTGAATATTTCAGATTTAATTTTTGTAGTGATTAAATATCTTCATGAGATCAATTAAACTTCAAGTAAAATTCTGAGTTAATCATTATTAATTAATTAATTCCAGCCTTTCTCAAGTGTGAAGGAAAAGGCTGGAGATTACATGGAGTTACGCATTAGATTATGCAACTGCACTTCTTGCTGCGGGAAAAACAATGTTTAATTTGACGAGAGAGCAATCTGTACAGCGTGAAGCAACCCGCTGCTGTCCGACTCGTTCAGCCGAGAGTGACATCAAAAATGCTCGAGGTGTTGCTTTATTTATTTGATCTTGTCAGGTGCCTACAAGTCGGAAAACAAGAGTGATAGAGTGCAATATGCCCTGAGCTGGAATATATCAATGAAAGCTGTGGCTACGACTTTCATGTTAAGCAAGTTCGTCTGCCCTTGAGTAAATACTAAATAATACAATTTTGACGCCGTGAAATAATGTTTTATTTATTTCGAGCGAAGGAGAATGAGAGGCGTCACTGACCACGCAGAATAATGGGCAAAGAAGTGCTGCCGGCGAAGGATTAAATACGAGAAAAGGGGCTTGTGAGAGATGGACGGACAGGATAATTACTTGTGGACCAGCGTAATGGAAGGTTTCGGAATGCAACCGAACAGTGGAGGAAATGATGACGGGCATTCACCGACAGTTGCACATAAAGGAGCCTTTGAAATGCATTAATTTTATGACATGAATATTCTGTGGCATCATTCCTTGACCAAAAATATGTTGTCTCGGTTAAGAAGTTATGGAGGATGAATTTAATCCATTATGTCAGAATCACGGCAATGTAAAAAAATCCTCTCTTGAAAGTGTTTTTAGAATAAAGTTTTTTTAAATTATTAATTGGATAATTTTTATAACTTCAATGAAGGGTTTTATAATTGTTATAAGAGAGTTACTTCCCAAAACTAGAGACGAGATCTTTCTACGTGAGAGTGAAATTGTGACTCCTAGAAAGTCGGCTAGACGCAAATTAAAACGTCGCAGCATTCGGCATTGGGTCGTAATTAGAGACACGGGCCGCTAATTAAATTTCGGCCTGGGACGAGATGCACATAATG